TTAGATCTATTGAATAAAAGCTATTTTCTAAGCTGTAACTGCTGTTAATTGATTTAAAATGCTGAGATTTTGGCTGATCTATCTTAAACTTGCCTTAGCTGAGCTGTTAAAATAATTTTGGCGGTGTGCATCATGCTGAGATATATGTTTTGCATCATTATAGAGCCGAGTTACATGTTTAGGTGGGTAGACGTGTAACGGTAAGTTCATGCTGAGCTGCTGTGCTGTGCTGTCTGGATCCAGATACCGGAATGGGTCGCTCCCGAACCGGCTCGGTTCCTTCTGGATTACTTAGGCTGTGAAACCAGTTGGAAACCGTTTTCATGCTGTGCATTAGATGGGCTGGAAATGCATGGAATTATTGCTGTGAGAAATATTTTGCTCTATATATATGATTTTATTTTAAGTTTGGTAAGCTCACCCTTGCATTTCTTTCTATGTCGTTGTGTGCGTGTGTACTGCGATGATCGTACGGTGGTACGTGAGCAGATGTAGCAGGTGTTGCATCTACTTCACAGGCTGAGGGACCAGTGAAGAAATGATTGAAGCTGGGGTCGAGTAATATTGCATCAAAGTCCTTTTTCCTATATTTTGAGACCTCATGTAGAGGGAGCTACGTAGTATAATTTTGGGTATTTTTGAATATTATGAACTAAATGTAATATTATGTTGTTCTGTTGGATATTTGTTGTAAGAAACTCTGTTTTATTTTGAATGAGAAGAGAATTTCATAATTATATTTTCTATACTTTATTTCAAATAAGTTTGTGATGTAGAAACAATGTTCTCGGTTCCTTATAAAGGGGGTCGTGACAGATTTCGCTTAGGCGAGGTAAACCTCGTCCATGTAAGATTGAGCGTGCACAAATATCTTGCTGCAGGGCTATATCGCTCAAGCGAGATAAGATAAATGTTGCCCAACTATCAGCTCACTCAAGCGAGAGTAATCTCGCTCAGGTGAGATGGGTCGCTCAGGCGAGGACCCACAAGAGAAATGACATGCTCTTTGGACACCATCTCACTTGAGCGAGATGGAGCTCGCTCAAGTGAGCATATCAAAAAAATAGTGGGCAAGACCATTGTCTGCATATCTCGCTCAGGCGAGATGCTTGTTACTCAAGTAAGATGTCCCTCATTCAAGCGAGAACGCGCGAGACTAAGGGGTATTTAAGAGATTTCTCACATGAGAAATTTATTTTATTAGAAACTCACGTACCTCTCTTAAGTTTTCTCTAAATCCTTTCTTCCTTTTACTCAGATAAAAGCCTCAGAAACCTGATTTCTCTTTATAATCACGCTTGGACATTGAAGCTACGTGGTAGTATGATTCTAAGTAAGTTTCTCCAGAGCTCCACATAATTCTCTACCTTTTAACCTTCTTTAGTTGCTTCATGTGATATAATTTCCATCATCATACTACCACATACCATTCCCCCCCCCCCAAAAAAAAATAAAAATTGACCTTGTCCTGGAGGTCCACAATATACAAGAAAAGAAGGTAGTTTATACCGATTTGTAAAATATGCTGTTGAGCAATGTTTGAAGTATAGCTTTCACTATTGATAATGTTAAATGATCTGTCTCCCCATTCTCAATTAAAACAAAATAAACTACATGATTTAGATGTAGGGAACACAATTCAAACTAAATTGAAGAAAATTCAGGTCCATAAGTTGCTTCAGAACTGCTGATCGGTACAGAATTAAAGACAACTGTGAGTCTATTATTATGAGATTAAACGGACAATGAGCCTGGACTCTTACAATGGATACCGGAGCCTAAGCTCCTCAGAGAAATGGTATTTTATCTGTCTAAACAGAAAATGAAAAATACTAACTCACCTTTCCTCCTTATCCTATTAACACGCTGCATAGCATTACAAACTGGCAAGCTCAGCAGCATAACTCTCTTCCCCTGCACATCCCTTTTCCTTATGTGTATACACCTTCCATGTCATGGGCCTCCCATGATTTGAGCCCATTAGCTGATCCGTGACTGGTACTAGGTCATTGTCCACATGAGATCCAATATCTTGTGCTCTATCACTTCCTTCCTCAAGAAGAATAGCGTTGTCTTGTCCCCAAGGCTGAGATCAATAAATTGACTTCACAAGTTCAGTTCGCAAGTAGCATCCTCCTAAGCCAATTCTTGCCACTGAATTAGAACTGCCTTATTTTGCTGCCAGCCTTGACAATCTCCTGGCTAGCCAAAACCTTTTCTAGTGCAAAAGTTTCACGAACATTGACCTCCAAATCAGGTGGTAATTCTGTTTCTACTGCATAATTGCAAACAGCTTTGTTAAGCTGTGATACGTGGAATATAGGATGAAGCTTTGAAAGGGGGGGAGGTCAGCTTGTTGGTTACACTCCCATATTTCTCCAACACCTGAAAACGACCATTGCTTTTGGTTTTGGCACCTAATCATTCACCCACATAGGTAATTCTTTTGTTGGTGTCAGCTCTTCTTCTCTTGTTCTATGGATCCTTGATTATAGGGTCACAGACCACATCATTGGTAATAAATCTCTTTTTTCTACTATTTCTAGATCTGATTATTTACGCTTTGTCACTATGGCTAATGAGTCCCGAAAATAGTCTCAAGGTGTAATGACCTTTTTCTGACGACCAAAATACCTAATTTTTTTTTGAGATGAAAATGTAATTTTTTTTGAGATGTTAACTATTTTGTGTCTTGCTTTGATTAAAATTGTGGATTAAGGTAATTAGCTTAGTATGACTCAAAGTCATGGGACTTAGTAGTTCATTGGATGGCCTAAGCAACAATCTCATCAAGAGATCATATCCTTTTCTAAATTATCAAGATTCAAGTGCTTAGGTGTTTCTATTTAGTATAATTTGATTTGGTTTTCTTAGGTAATAGAATATATGTGCCAATTTATGGCTTACTTCATTGAATTAGTTTTAGTGTAGTTAGTACTATGTTGAAAAACTCAATTTCCATTCCCTTTAGTATTTGTTAATAAACTTGGGCCTAACTTGCTCTCAAAAGTTAGTTCAAGTTTCTTAACATGGTATCAGAACCTATCTAGTTTTAATGTTGGGCCACCCATACATTTTGTTAAGATAACAATTGATTAGGAATATAGTTAGGATATTCATTATAAGGGTTAGGGTAGTCCTCCTCCTATGAGTTAACTTTTGGGAGTAGATTAGGTCTAAGTTTCTTAATAGTATTCACCAAGTCTAGGACCTTAAATCTTACTGTGAAATTTCACTTAACTTAGCATTCAATCATATAGTTTCATACAATATAGGCACCTCAACAACATATGCAAACATATCAATTTCATTTTCAAACATAACATGTCTATAAACCCAAGAGAGTGAGAAATTCTCAAGAATTTTCAACCATACACAATATTCACAGTTTCATCAAGTACATTCCTATCTATTCCCTCTACCCTTAACTCAAGTCATATGAAAGCTTTTCCCTCCTCACCTTTGAGAGTAACTTAGTTTGGTCAGGAAAAGATGCTTTGACTTCCAGTCTCGTTTGATCTGTACTCCACATCTTTCTGTATGGGCCAACAATTGTGTTTTTTGGGCGGTTCTTGCACTTGGGCTCGTAACTCAGGTGTTTAGAATCCGAATGAAGTATGCAAAGTACTGGCGCATTCCTTTTTCAAGGATACAAACATAGAGCTCATTAGAGGAGGTTTTTAACCAAGTTAACTAATTTTAATTAGCTAAAAACAGAATCGGTACTGTAGGGTACTTAGTTCTGAACAACGAGAATTTTTAAGTTTTGGTACATTTTCCAATTGGAGTGTAACTCAGTGATATGATGTCCAAATTGAGTTCAAGATAGCTCTTTGGAAAGATAACACTGCAAGGAAGAATGTCAATTATACCATGCAGTTGTGGGACAAAGATTTACCCAGAAAACACTAATAAGGCTGCTGCAGCAAATTCCAAAACTGAAGCACTTACAATGATTGGAGTGTAAGTGGGTGAGATGGTGTCCAAATTCAGTCCCGTCAGTCTTGTTTGAAAGCTAACGTTGCATGGATTCCAAAAATGTGCCTGCACATCAAATTCCATGTGCAGATTATTCCCAGTGTTCCATTATGTAGATCTGGTCCTGTCAGGATTTTGAGAGAAGTACTTACTTAATTTAGTCTTTTGAGGGTGCAATTGGAGTCCAAAACAAGCTTGTGATGGGTTGTTAGAAAGGTGATACTGCACAGAACATAGAAATGTGGTTAGGGACAATTTCCTACTTGTAGATTTCACTAAAACTTGAGAGCAAGGTCGTTGTTCCATTCAATTTCTGCAGAATTTCCCATTAGGCAGCTTATGAGTTTTGGATAAAAAATAGAAGTCACCTTCAAATTGAGTTCTGCAAAATGGGTTTGAAGACCAACGCCTTAAGGATTATGTAGATGTCTTCGAACAAATTTCGTGCATGCATGAGGTGCAGGATAATTATTTGCTGAGTTGTTCTGCTAGTTTTACAGCGTGCATGACAGATTTGAAGTACCTCCTTGGTTGATGCTTTTGGGGGATCAAATGAATTCCAAATCATGCATGGGATAGCTTGATAGAAAGGTTATTTTATGAGGAACACAAAAACTGCATATCTTTCTAATTATGATAAATTAGTAACTGTATATTCTGTATTAATGATGTTCTATTTAAATACATACTCTGCTGTGTCGTTGAAACACTGATTTATCCTATGTCTCTTGTTCCTTTTACTCAACAACTTGTTTCTTTTCTCCTTTGTGTTCTATTTGCTCATTTGACATCTGATTGTTTGAATTTTTTGTTCATTATTTTCTATGCTACATTTTTTTATTAAACACATCATGAATACTCACACTTGTGTCAAGGCTAATAAGAATTCTTGTTTTGGGTCTAGTTGTTGTAACACTTGTGTAGTTGTGTTTTTATATGATAAATTTATGGCTTTTTTATCCTCTTCCTTGCAGTCAATATTTACTAATTGATGTTCTTTGTGTGCTTTGGAAGTATAGGCAAACTTTTGACATAGTGCACCGTGTATCACCATCACAAAAGCATAGTTGTGTTGTTCCTTCAAGCCCCTTCAACCAGCTTCACCTCTTTTGGCACCATCACGGCTCTGTCTCTTATGCAGCGTAGAACCCTTCCTACAACTTCCAACATTTTCATCCTTGCCCATAACACAGAATACTGTACTGAACTAAGATTTGTGATTTTTTGTTTCAATTAAAATTTCCATGGAAGCTCAACCAGTTCTTTTCAGATTTTGTCTGAAATCATCATTAGTGCCATCAGGTTCAATTGTGAAACAACCATTCTCTTTAAAGTTCCCTCTGTTACCTTCACTTTCATGCCCTTCAATTCAGTCCCAGAATCTTGAGGTTCCTGGTGGAGCTTTTTATACCATCAGCATTGTGCACAAAGAAGTGTGTTCTAGTTCTTGGAGGAGAATATGTTGCAGCAGGAGTAGTAGTACTACAGAGCCAGAGGAGGGCCATGAGGTGAGGGCTCAGGTCTCAGTGAGAAGGAAAAAGCTAGCAGTTTTTGTGTCTGGTGGTGGATCCAACTTCAGATCAATTCATGAGGCCTCCAGAAGGGGATCACTTCATGGAGATGTTCTTGTATTGGTCACAGATCGAAGTGGTAATGGTTTACTTTACTACCACCCCTTTACTTTCATTTTTGCTCTTTTGCAAAATATGTTATATTGTTTTATGGTCGTGTTATCATTTAGCTTAGCTAAAATTTGTCAATTGTCAATTGTCCAAACACTTGAAATGACTACATGGCACAACATTATAAGCCAACTCAACCATTTTCCTTAATTCATAGCATTGTGTGGGGGCCTTCAAGGGCATAGTTGTTAGTAGCTCGCTATAGCGGCACTATCACACTGGTGCAGTGCCGAGCCGCCACATCATAGGGTGTTTGTCACGTCGTGGTGGTTGCGGGTGCTTTGCGGCCAAAACAAGGAGAAGTCATAGGTGGTATTGTGCGATTTTGGGGAAAGGAAGAAACCCAAAAAAAACGCACCGATTTGATTATTTTGAAGGTTAGAAAGGTCATTTACCCTTGATAAAACATATATTTCATCTTCCTCGACACTCTTCCTCTTTGCATGAAAAGTTGAAACCTCAACATAGCAATTTCTCCCCTCCTCACTGACTCACCCATTCCATTTTGCCGGAAAACTGAGCTAAGTCTGGAGGCTCACCCAATCCATTTTGCCGGAGAAATCAGCTTTTCCAGCTTCTCCTCTGCTTTTCTATTTACAGGAGAAATCAGTTTTTCCAAAGTTCACTCACTCCATTTCGTTGGAGAAATCAATTTTTCTGGCATCTATTTTGCTTTTTCTGTTTGAGCTCTATTTTACTATTCATTAATCATTCTTGCTTTTCTGTTCAAGATCTATTTTGCTGTTCATCCTCTGTTTTGCTGTTGAAGCATGGTTTAGCATTTTTAGTTTAATGTAACTTCCATGATGCAGTGTTTTGCACTTTTACACTGTTACTTGGAATGATGACTATGTAATCTTGAGAATTTCTTGAGCATATATATTAAAATTCTGTGTAGATAACATATAATATATGTAATTATAAATTTTTAAATAGCAGTCATCCCCATCCCGCAATATGCAATTATGCTATATTGTTTTAGGGGTCGGCTGCTATTTACTGCTATCTGAGATTAACAACTGTGTTCAAGGGTCAACAACATCACTGGGGCTCAATGGTTTGTCACATTTATTGATGACCACACAATGGTCACGTGGGTCTTCCTTATGAAAGAGAAATTTGAAGTGGGAAAGATATTTGAAAATTTTCAAAGCATGGTGCAGACTCAGTTCCAAGCAAACCTCAAAGTTTTCAGAACTGATAATGGTTGCAAGTATTTCCACTCATTTCTCAACACTTATCTCCAAAATCATGGAATTGTTCATCAAAGCTCATGTGTGAACACCCCCACACCAGAATGGAATTGAGAGGAAGAACAAGCACATTATTGAGGTCACTAGGTCACTCATGATATCAATCAATATGCCAAAGCAATATTGGGGAGAAGCTGTACTCACTGCAGCCTATCTCATTAATAGGATGCTTTCCAGAATCCTTAACTTCAACACTCCAGAGTCTGCACTACAGACATATTGCCCAGTAAGCAGGATCCTCAACTCTCTCCCTTTCAAGGTATTTGGATGTACAGCATTTGTACACAATCATGATCCTCATCGAAGTAAACTTGATAGCAAATCCATCAAGTGTATTTTCATTTGTTACTCACCCCACCAAAAAGGGTACAAATGCTACTGTCCCACAACTAGGAAGTTTTTTCACACTATGGATGTGACCTTTTTTGAAAGGCAACCATATTATCCAAAAATTGAAATTCAAGGGGAGAAGACATCATCTATAGAAAATGCAGAATTTCAACAATTGGAAGCGGAGATGGTTGAGCCACCAACAAAAAATGTGATTACAGCAGAAGGAACAGATTCAGAAGGAGAAGGAGAAAATTTAGGGGGGAGAAGATCAACCTACTGCATAGGAAACCAATCTTTGGGTCTATTTCAAAAAAGGAAGCCTCAATGGCAGTGTTGTTAAATGGCGCCCATGGTGGAATTCGGTGGCAGTTTATAACCTCCGTTACAGTGTTGCCGTTTTTTGGCAGTTTTTGGTGGAGACGCCACGGCAGCCGTTACTCACATGGCGGGAATGGCAGCCATGTTAGATATTATTGAAAAATGGCATTTTGATGGGTTGGGCCGCGAATCTGACCCAGTCCATAGGTTTACCCGCGCTGAAAAACCCTAAGGTTACATCTCTTCTGCCCTCTTCATGAGTCAAAAACATTTCCCTCTCATCTTCAATCTCTCTCTCCTCTGATCTCTCTCTCCCCTCCGATCTCGTTTTGCATTTTGCTGGGGTGTCTCTCTTCATCACTATTGTGCCGTTGTGGAGCGGCGGTTAGCCACATGATGCTTGCTGTGGTGAAGTATTTCTTTATTAGCAGAAGTTAATTCCTAATTGTAGACAGTGTCTTGGTGTGGGTGTGCACTTTCGAAGTGTAATGGAGAGGGGGAGCAAAAGTCCAATCTTGCCCTTGCTATAGTGTCATTTAGGGTTTTTTTTAGGGCAAAACGGACTTTTTCCGCTTAAAATTTTTTCCTTGTCAAGTGGTAAAATTTTTAGGGTTCTCTCTGCACTGTTTTTCTTCCTTCTTCTCTAAAGCCAACTTCTCCTTCATCTCCTTCACCATTTTCGCCGGAGAAGACATCCTTTTTGGCTGTTTTCCGGTCTATGAGTGGAAGGCCCTGTTTTTGGACATCCAGCTTCCATTTTTCTTCTGTGGGCTCTTTCCCTTTTTTTTAGTTTTTCCCTCTCCTATTATATTTTTTTTTTCAATTCTGTTTTTCCCTCATTTTTTTCATTTTTCCTTATTATTTTGTTTTCTTGATTCTATTTTTCTGTTTTCACTTCCAAGTTTTCTTCTTTATATTTATTTTTAATTTTCTACTTTTCTGTTGTAACGTCATCTTTTTTTCACTATTTTACAACCATTTCATTCTTTTTTTCTCAAAACCTTATGATAGGAACTGAGTATGTGTATGGAATTAATCACAGAAATCTCAGGGAGTACCCTGACATTACAAACAGAGAATGAAATAACAGAAGCAAATAATAATGACAAAATGGATCCTATGACAGCAGCCACACCCAAATGACCTTCCCCCCAAAATGATCCCCCTTGGCCAAGTGTTCAACCTCTATATAATCTCTCTCTCCCTGCCGCTCTCCTCTCCCCCGCCCTCCTTGCCACATATGTTAATTTATTAATATGTTAGAATCTAGCATAACGGCCTCCTGGCTCATTCTTCCCATTTTACCCCTTTTCCTTTGATATGTCTTTAATGGGGTCCAATTGACTTAGACCCAACACCTTCCTTCTTTTATATGTAGTTAATTTTCTAGTTTTATATTACATTTTGCAAAATATATATATATATATATATAAGAGAATGATTTTCTTATACTGGTGTAAGTTTAAAAACTTTTACATCAAATCTAAACTTTTCATTTTACTTACATCTAACGGCCAGTGAAATAATAAATTATAACCCGTTAGATATAAGTCAAATAAAAGGTTCAGATTTAGTATGACCGCCATAACCCGCCATGGCATCCGCCATAATTTTATGACAGTCTTTTTGCTTTTTGCCATGACCCACCATTGATAACATTGCTCAGGAGACAAAAGAGTCCAGCACAATCTGAATCAAAGGTGAGGAATCAAACTTGACTTCAAAATCTGCAAATCACGTAGGTAACACTGCTCCTAACCTTCCTGAATTAGATCATGTTAATGGTGACCTTGATGTACTCATTGCTTTCAGAAAGGGTGTTAGATCTTGCACTTAACACCAAATTGAAAAACATGTGTCTTATGGCAAGCTTTCTCAGGAATATAGAGCTTTGTAACTTCTCTTGATATAGCATTGAAATTCCTTGAAACATTCAAGAAGCTCTTCAACAACCAAAATGGGCAGCTGCTGTAGAAGAAGTCCAAGCTTTGGCAAAGAACAATACATGGATACTCACCATACTACCAAAGGAGAAGAAAGCTGTAGGATGGTGATGGATTTTCACAATCAAGTATAATGCTGATGGAAGCATAAACTGGTAAAAAGCCTGGTTAGTAGCAAAGGGATACACCTAATCTTGTGGGATTGGTTATGAAGAAATGTTTGCACTAGTGGCCGAGCTCAACTCACTTAGAGTAGTACTATCGTTAGCTGCAAACTTGGATTGACCTAAACCCTAAACAATACATGAATGCTTTCCTGAATGGTGATTCAAAAGAGGAAGTGTATATGCAAGTTTTTACTGGACTTGAGTCCACTAGCACCATCAACAAAGTATGCAAACTTCAAAAGTCTTTGTATGGCCTCAAGCAGTCCCCAAGAGCTTGGTTTGACAAACTGTCCCAAGATGTCAAGAAGGTTGGGTTCATACAGTGTCACACAGACCAAATCATGTTTGTGAAACACTCATTGGAGGGAAAAATGACATTATTCATATAAAATCGATCACACTCAATGTGCAATATTCTTTCCAAAATTAAGCATAATCCTTGATTTCCTTTTAAGATTGATTGTAATTACAGAATTAAAGGCCTAGATTAGGAATCAGATTTGTTTTTCTTTTCTATAAATACCTCTTGTTGTAATCTCCTTTTCATCAAGTGAAATAGAAATCACTTTTTCTGCAAATAGTTACTGAGTTAAGATCATATTTGTTGTTTGTGTGAGTAGAAAAAGGAAATTTACTTGTGTACTGGTGCTGCTAGTCATGTGTGACACGGGATGTTGGGACTATGTTTTGATTTTTCTTTTGTTTTGCCCCATGGTCTACTTAAAGTTCCTTATTTGTTTCTTTTAATACCAGCGTGTGGAGGTGCAGAGTATGCAAAAAATAATGGCATCCCAGTTATATTGTTTCCTACAGCAAAGGATGAGCGCAATGGATTATCTCCAAGTGACCTTGTTGATACACTTAGGTCTGATGCTTCTTTACATCATTTCCTGCTATTTGTATTTAACTATAGACTTTAGAGTTTATTCTTTTAATGAATCTGATTTGTGGCTTCTATGCTTTGAAGATGAAATGCAAATAAAAAACCATTGAAGCACAAATATGGAAAAATCTGTAAAGGAGACAAGGACTATTGATTTCTGCATGGCATGGAGATGTGGTTGCATTACTAACATATGATACATTTTTTAATCAGGAAATTTGAGGTTGATTTTATTCTTTTAGCTGGATACCTCAAACTTATACCAGTGGAATTGATCCGTGCTTATGAAAGATCTATATTCAACATTCATCCATCACTTCTTCCAGCTTTTGGAGGCAAGGGCTTCTATGGTGTGAAGGTGCATAAGGCTGTAATTGCTTCTGGAGCGAGGTACCCTTCTCGTAAAATATCTCCAGCATGTTTTTCCATTGAAACACTGTTTTACTTGCTTGACTACTTATTTCATTTTTCTATGTTCATCAGATTTTCAGGACCTACAATTCATTTTGTTGATGAACACTATGACACAGGACGTATCCTTGCTCAGCGTGTTGTCCCTGTGCTTGCTAATGATACTGCAGAGAAGTTGGCTGCACGGGTTCTCAAGGAGGTAGTTGTTAGACCCAGGAGTTTGCTCATACAAATAGGACAGTTTTATTGACAGAAATTCTATATGAAAATAGAGTTAGATTTCTATAACAGAATTCAATGGGCTGAGCTCTAAAAGAGTGAAGAGTACCAAATATGAGTAATGCGGATCATGAAGCAGTACAAGACATGGATCAGCTGGTGGGCTAATTCATGGGAAATCCAAAATATGGAACGTGTATACACATAAGAAAAAGAAGTGTTTTGGGGCGGGGGTGAGAGTTAGTTACATGTTGCTGAGCTGGTCAATTGGTTTGCTATACAGAATTAATATAACTCTCATATTTTGACCTATTTCTTAATAACTTCCTAATACAGAATTATAATTGCCTAATTTAGAACTTGGTCTATCAGTAATGAGTTGACAATCTATATCATTAATCAGTTCCCCAAATTAGTGAATTATAAACTATTGAACCACTTTCATCTTTGAATAAATTCAATGGATAAATTTGTAATAAGAAGCATACATGAACCTTGGCATTTATGCAATTAAAAGGCTAGTAACTTTGCAGATTTACAAGATGGATAGCAAGTGATTACTACTTGTTTTTATTTCCAAATTTAGGAGCATCAGTTGTATGTGGAGGTGGTAGAGGCTTTATGTGAAGAGCGTGTAGTTTGGAGGGAAGATGGTGTTCCTCTCATCCAAAGCAAAGAAAACCCCAATGAGTATTGCTGATTATCATTGATATGGTATGAAATTCACTTTTAAATTTCTCTGAATGTCACTTTCAGATTGTAAATATTTATATATTCTACTTTTTTCTGTGATGGTGTCTTGCATCCGATGGGACTTTTGTTCTTGCAGGGGATTTTAGTTGGAGATTTGTGGCCAATGAATCATAATTATTAGGTAGGTAAACACCGGTGTACTCATGTCACATTCCCACCAATAATGTAATAAGTAGGAAATCACCTTTCTCTTGATCCGTTCTGCCCAAACCGTTAATAAGCTCCAGTGGATTTTAATATCAGGTCACTGAGCATATTTTTGTACTCCTTCACTCCCCACACAAGATTCCATTAACGTATTATAATATCACTCCATAATTAAGAAATTATCTGCTATATTGTTTAGGTAAGAAATTGAGTTGTCCATGAGCCAATGGAACTGCCTGCGAATGCCAAAGGTGCTATGTCTATGGTCCTATCCTTTGCTACCCATTTATTTGAGTATTCTGTTACAAAATTTTTCTAGTTCTAGGAATGTGAAAGACTCGAAGAAGTTGAAGAATAGGGAACCATACAATGAAAGGTTCTGAAATGGCTTTATTAAGATGAAGAGAAGATTACAAGAGTTTGATGAATGAATTACAAGATATTCCAATCTAACATCAAAGTTGTCATTTATAGCAAAACTGACACAATTAACACCTAACAGATTTTGATCAACCCAGCTAGAAACACGTGGCAACCTATTAAAACAACCTCACCAACTAAAGGCTTCGTGGCACCCTATTAAAGGATTCGGATTGTCTCCAGTTCGCGTGGAAACTGGACTTCTAGTCTTTTTTTTGCTTAAGCGGATCCAATTCGCTTAAGCGAGAATAGCTGATTTTTGCTTAATTACGTCAAAAAATGGATTGGGCGAATTTTGGTATTCCTAATTAGCTTAAGTTAAAAAAAAGTGCTTAAGCGAAAATAATCAGCTAAAGTGAAAAATGGATAGAGAGCTCTAATTTTTAAACATGCATAACGCTTAAGCTAATCAAAATGGCTTAAGCGAATCCTACAAAATGGCTTAAGCTATTTATAATAGCTTAAGCGAAAAATAGACAGAGAGCACCCATTTTCAGAGTTTTATGGCTTAAGCTAATCAAGAATAGCTTAAGCTATTTATAGTAGCTTAAGCGAAAAATGGACAGAGAGCATCAGTTTTTAGAGTTAATATTCGCTTAAGCGTGATTAGAATAGCTTAAGCGAAAGTATAATAGCTTAAACAAATATTGCAGAAAACTAAAAAAAAAATGCATCAGAACTTAACAGCAGCAAATGTAATCATATCTGGAATGCTTAAGCAAATGCAAAAATTAGATAGCAATGCATATCAGAAACTGGTCATAAGCTCCATAACATAATATGAGTAAATCTAATCAAATGTAACCAAATTTAAGAGACAATGATATCTTTATATTATAAATAGAAATTTCTAACATCAAGTTATTCACATTACATGCCTTGAAACAAAAAACATTGGAAAAGAAACTAAAATTAAACATCAAGTTAAATATTCCTAATGAAACGAAGGAAAATAGAAAACAAAACAAATATTTATTCTTCAACAATAACATCATCATGCATTTGATCTCCTTGCTCCTTGTTATGCTAATCTTGATGACCCTCTACCTCTTGACCTTATTCTTCCTCTTGAGGCTCTTGTATGACCTCTTCATCAGCTCCTGGTTGCCCTTGTTCATGTGTAGGAGACATTTCACATTGGTTGGGCTGATTTGGAAATTGAGGGGTATCTCCATGCCATGAGACATGTGTTGCAAACTCTTCAACTGTTGGCTATTAGAATGTTGAAGCATCTTATTGGTGTTGGTGTAGGGTAAAACGGTAGAATGACTCATTGAGATGTGTGTATGCTCGATGGTTTGCTGCTAATTGGTGGTGGATGTGAGTATAAGCAAAAGTATAACAGCTTAAGCAAATATTATAGAAACTGAAAAAAAAAAAACACATCAAAACTTAACAGCAGCAAATGCAATATACTATATTCATGAGATAATATTAAAAATTGCATTTATAAGGGCAATTACACATAATTACAATTAACATTGTACAAAATACAGAAAAGCTACAAAATATCTTAAAGTTGATCAAAGATTGAATGAGTTGTATCACCCAAAGATTTCTACAAAAAGAAATAAAATTAGATAAAATATCAATCATCTTAGTAGGAAAAATAAGTTTGATATTTAGGTAATTTTTGGATTTATATGTTTTTGAACATACCGTTAATAATGTAGTAAAACTGATAGTATTGTTAAAAATAGTATGTGTGTAAATTTTATCCATTTGTAATAGGATGGGAGACATCTCATATCTTAACATTGATAGTTTATGACGAGACTCATACTTACAAATTAGCTCATTGTAACGTTTGTCTTCTATCACACGTTCAAAGTATGCAAAGAATTGTTTAATGTTTACACAGGCTTCATACGAGCCTTAAAATCAGAATTTACACTCACTTAGTTGAGTACTTCGCATTCCAAGTGTGAACATTTCCTTCATGTAGCACGCTGCCCATTTTTTCTTTATTCCATATATTGATTTGATCCAATTATTCTCAGAAACATTGTATTCCTCAAGGTTACTTCTCCAAGCTTGCTCAAACTCACTCACTGTGTCAATGCCATACATGCATCTTTTGAGATCTCTTAAGAAATTTTTGCCTTTCAAGAGAAATTTTATAAATTTCTCAAAAAAATTGAACAAAATATTCTTTTCTTTGATTGGTTTCATGCTTATACCATTCAAAACAATTTAGATTATCCTTGGCAAGAAGATGTTATCAATACTTCTTCTGCTAATGTCATCTCTTGGCAGATTAAAGATGAACAAATATTTCAGAATGAACTGCCTCCTTCAACTCAGTATCAATTACCAAAATTGAAGGACAATAGTGGTAATCCTGTAATGGCTACGCCATTCAAAACCAAAAACCCTGATGAATCTATCACTCCCAGTGATATTCAAGGCCTCATGGAACAGGAAAATTACACCAATAAGTATTTACAGGTTTTTTAGGTGACAAAATCTCTGTTAATTCTGTTAAGCAAAAAGAAGAAGAAACATCTTCCCAAATCCAATTAGAAAAACTCCTTTTCAAACCTTTTAAAATTAGTGCCAAAGCCAAACAAAAAATCTTAGAGCTTAGGCAAAAAGAAAAATCCAAAGCCATAGAGGACAATCAGAATGAGTTACTTAGTAAAATCACTAGTATGCTTACTATCATTCCTGATACACCTCAAGCCTCTGAGGAGTCTAGTGCTAGACTAAAATAGGGCTCTCTCCAAGACTGTCAATGTTATCTCTAAAGTTAATTCAAAATAATTTTCTGAAACAGATTCCATTTTAGCTGTTAATCAAGTTAATAATTATAGTAGTAAAAATTAGAAAACTTCTTCCAAACTTTATTATAATAGGGCCACTGCTCTTGATCTAGTTTTAGAAGAAAACCATGATCATCCTATTCAAAGTTTCAATGCTAATGAAATCTACATTTGGAACATAGATGGTCTTTCTGAATATAATGTCATCTCTAAACTACAACACATGTCTGTTGTAGCCATGAGTTACTTCACTAATCATAATTATGATGAAGAAACCAATGTCCATATTCTTGTCGTCGGTTTTACTGGTCAGTTCAAAGGATGGTGGGATAACTATCTCACCGAAACTGATAGAGAAAGTATTTTGTCTGCAGTTAAAATTGATAATAAAGAAAATGCCATTGTTAATAATGATGAACAACTTTTTGATGTTGTGTATACACTCTTATACACCATATTCCAACATTTTCTAGGCAATCCATCTTTAAGGAAAGATAGATTAGCTGAATTATTATTCAATCTTAAGTGTAAAACTCTAGACGACTATAAGTGGTACAAAGATACCTTTATGTCTAGAGTTTATACTAGAGAGGACAGCCAACAACCATTTTGGAAAGAAAAATTCTTAGCTAGTTTTTCCAAATCTTTCAGAGATGTAGTTAGAAGGAAACTCCAAAACCATTCTACCAATGGAGAAATACCTTATGATAGTCTTAGTTATGACCAACTTCATGCTATCATTACTCAATTAGCTCTGAAAACTTGTTAAGAAGAGAAACTTTTAAGACAATTAGCCAAAGAAAAGGCCATAAATAAAAAGGATTTAGGATTCTTTTGTGAGCAATTTGGTCTACCGTCTTGTTCAACCAAAAAGAAAAAACAGATTCTCAAAAAGAAGGATGTCATAGAACCCAATAGGAAACCTTACAAAAAGAAGTATAATAGAATATCTTCTAAGAAAACTGGGGAAGATGTTATCCCCAAAAAACTCAGAACAGGTGTAACTTGTTACAACTGTGATAAACCTGGTTATATCAGTTAATACTGTAGACTCAAAAAGAAAATCATCAATCTCAACCTTGATCCTTCCATAGAAGATCAAATTAATAACCTTCTCATTGAATCCTCTGAGGACGATTCTGTTAGAGAATCAAGTGAAGATATCAATCAAATTCAGCAAGATGATCAAATATCTTTTTCTGACAGTGATGAAACTCCAGAAATCAATGTTTTAACAAAAAAATAAAATTTTCTTTTTGAAGCCATTGAATATTCATGATAATCAAGAAAGAAAAGACTTTCTTAGCAAATTTAAAGATGTTTTAGAAAGAAAGAAAAAATCAAAAGAACTTTTTACAACAAACAAGTTTGATATAACCAGTATTTTCAAAAGATTAGAAAATAATTCTAGTATAAAGCCAACTACTATGCAAGATCTTCAAATTGAGATTAACAATCTCAATCTTAAAGAGATTCATCAAATCGAAAAATAACAACAAATTCATCAAATTATTCTTTCGTAACTTGAAGAAGATGATAAATCCGAAGTTAAGAAGAACAATTCATTGAGAAAAAAGAATCTGAGAAAATTGATTCTGAAAATCCAGAAGAAATTTTTATGAATTTGATTAACAAGGTCAAAATTCAAAAAATTTATATTAATATCAGAATCATTATTAATGACTTTGTTCTTTATACCTTAGCCCTCTTTGATACAAGTGCTGATTCAAATTGTATTTTAGAAGGATTAATTTCTATTAAATATTTGAAAAAACTTCTGAAAAACTTAGCACTGCTAGTGGTTCGAAGCTTAAGATTAATTACAAATTGTCTAAAGCTGTTATTGAAAATCAAGGTTTTAAGATTGAAACAAACTTTCTTCTTATTAAAAATTTGAAAAATAAAGTCATTTTGGAAACTCTTTATTAAAGCTCTTTTCTCACTTCAAATTTCAAAAGAAAGAATTTCTACTTATCACTTAGGTAAGCAGATAACTTTTAAATTTTTCAGTAAACTTTTTACCAGAAATATTAATGTTAGTTAGAATAAAATTAATC